TCTCTCTCTCTCTCTCTCTCTCTCTCTCTCTCTCTCTCTCTCTCTCTCTCTCTCTTACACACACACACACACACACACACACATTCCTACTGAGTCCATTAATTCTGGCTTATGTATGTGTGTTTAGGGCTGAAGACTTGGGATTGAATAATTTATCAGGGGGATGATTCCTTGGAGAATACTGACTCCTCTTCTCTCAGCAGTCATTGATTTCCTGTAGCTCTTTATCTAAGGGTCAGGCCTCATGAAATTTCCCTCATCCATATTGGTATGTCAACTGGTATTGGCAACCATATTGTTGAGAATATATAAGTATGGCTTCCCTATTATGTCTATAACATACTGTCTTAGAGCAGATGTCCTGGTAGTGCACTTACTCTTATTAAGGCTGCTATCTGCTTTACACTTTTTATCTTAAGGAATTGGAACTACTTGTCAGGCCCCTGTATATTGTTCCAAATTGGCCTAGTGCTTTGCCATCTTCTACCCTTGGAATGAATGAGTATTTCTACCTGGGATGATTATTCATAGTTTGTCTGATTGAGACTTTTTCAGAATCTCTCAAAACCCATCAGAAATACATCTCTCCTAGGAAGCTTCCTCTTTCTTCCACCTGGATCAGGGGATACTTTTTAAAAATTTTCTTATTACACTTTACTAAATTTATCTATTCTTTCTTAGCTGCCTATTTCCTTAGCCTTTTCAAAAGACTGTAAGCTTGCTTTGTATTTGTGTCTGAATAAGTTGGTTGATTTTGGAGAAATGGACCTGGGCCAAAAAAACTCTTTGTATTACTAACACAGAACCTGGTAAGTCATGGGTAACAATAATTTTTTTATATATGTATATGTATGGAACAAGTAGTGGAAAAAGAGGCCATGACTTTGAAGGAGAGTGGGGAGAGGTATACAGAGGGTTTAGAAGGAGGAAAGACAAGGGTGAAATGTGATTATAGTATAATCTAAAAAATACATACAAGAAAGAATGAATTATGTGAGTGAATAGATGGATAAATCAATAAGTAGATGAAAATAAGGAATAATCTAGCCATTTTTTATATCTTACATTAAATCAGATAATTTTAAACTATCACCTACTATCTACAACTTCATATATTTAATGCTTGTAAGAACAGAATATAAAAACTTTTAAATTATCTTAGCATACTTAGAATTCTGGAATATTCTTCCTTAGTAAGCAATAATTTGTCTTGCACTTGCTCATTTGAAGTAAGCATATTCTATGATAACAGAACATTACTAATCACAGTATTTCCCATTATATATTATTCAGATTGCCTGTAAATGTTTCAGATCTCATAATGAGAAAGATTTGTCAATGCCTGAGACATATTCACATAAAGAATGCCCCGTAAAGCATCTTAACTTTCCCATTCCTAGTGTTTACAACATTCAGGAATTTCTAAACCCTTTTCCCATCTCCTTTTTATCATCAGCATGCTCAGTGCACATTTGGCTCTTTTTTTAAATGGGTGCTTATAAATGAAATTTTTCCTTTTCTTAATCATTCTGGTTGGGCTCTCAGTTTCCTTCAAATTATGA